CCTTTTCATTAATCTCTTTACAATAAAAATACTTGTGAAATCACGAGGATTTCATTTGAAAAGAAGAATTAGCAACAGATACTACAACATCAAAAAGAAGAAAATAAAATGTCCAACTTTACGTTACACAAGCTGGACTAACAGTAGTATCTTTTAAATCACATAAATGGTCCCAGATGTTTGAGCTAAGTTGTTACTTGTTACTTTGTTCTAAATATTCCAATTTTCTTAACTCCACCGTATATCATAAGATTGGAATGGTGATTAGCAACCAAATTACGGCCATCACTCAAGCCTCCAGTGATTGTGTTGGGGCCATTTTTTTGGAAGAAGACCTATTGCTTTCCCCCACTACTCCACATTTCCAAGAATTCTTTCCTTTGACCTCCACCGTCTATTCTTTCCAACCCAAAACGACAACTATTTTAAAGCATGTTGTGGGATTTTTGAGACGTCATTGGGAAGTGGGGAGATGGTTTGTTAATTTGTGAAGGGATTATATAGAAGGATAGAATACGATGATGTGAACTAGTGCAAAAGAGGGCAGGTTGAATAATTGTACTGATGGACATTTTCTTTTAGGATTGGATTCCAAATTTACAATATTTAACGTTTATTCATTTAGCTTAAGTGTCAAACTTGGATGATGGATCAAAGTAATTAGTAAAAGGAGGCTTAATGATAGGGTTTCAAACTTGGAATTGAACATATTATTAACAAGGCAGGGAAATGCAGAGGAAGTAGTGGTAGGGTTGGAGATAGGTATGTTGGTTATAAATGCTAAAAGATAAAGGTTGGAGGAAGTGGGTGCCCTGAACAAAGGCTAGATGAGGAAACATGGTGGTATGGCTGATCAGATTTTGTCTGTGGGATGAGAAGCGGCAGCCTGATGGTTGTGAAACATGACTAGTTTTTTTTCACTTTAAGTTTCTCCTTATCCTCGCTTTTTATGATTCCCTCTAAGTTTGGTTTGTTCTTACAAATCACTTAGTAAGTAGCATGTGTCATTTTTGGCTTATCCTTTTAGCCTACCATCTTGTTTTTCCCCACTTTTTAATCCTCGATGCTCAGATTCAACCAGACAGCCGGATTCAGTTCCTGTTGTTTGTAAGAATCATTCAAGGGTGTGGCGTAGTGGTCAATGAAGTGGGTTGAACATCATGAGGTCTTGGTTCATATCCCAACAAAGACCAAACACTAGATGATTTTTTCCTATTTGTTCTAACATTGGTGGTCAAGTACTTGTTGCTGGTGTGAGGTACCAGGTATCCCATGGAATGAGTCAACGTGCGCACAAGCTACCCTGGACACCATGATTATCATCAGAAGAAGAAAAAAAAAGGGAATCACCTACAACACCAACTACACGCCATAGGATATAATCAAAATTGTAATTTAGCTCATAAACTGAGAATTAACGCCTAACAACTCTCCATACAACATTTTAAATGCTAAAGATAGGCAGCCGAAAGTTCCCATTTGCAGTTCTGTTCAATCCTTCGTACGTTACTCATTCTCAAAAGAAAACAATGCCTTCTAACCACTGGTTCTAGAACCACATCAACTGCCATATGCAAGACCCTAATGTTGCACCCATGCTGTCCATAGTAAATACTCCTACTCCCAACATACTTTTCGAAGAATAGCTTCCCTTCTGTCACTTCAAATTCTTATGCTCAACTCCCTTTAAACCTACTAAGCATAAGAGATGGTAAACAGGCCCAAAACCCACCAATTACCATATACAAGAAACTAATACTTCACTGATGAGTTTCAGATCTAAACTGAATATGCTGAGAAGATCAACTTGTACCAATTAATACAAAATCCTGATCCTAAACCCCCTCCCCCCACCCTAAAGTAACTCTTACCCTATGAAGTTTTAGTTTCCCGTTCTAATCAGCACGTTGGATACATTTATGCAGTGCACTAGCAGAATTAATCATCTCTGATTTTAGTGTAGTAAGCCGATAAATTGATTTCGTTTTATCAAAATAAACTGTTCATCACTTATTTAGCTTAGCACCATGCGTCGGAATTCTGAATAGCAGGGTCTGTAACGCTCATTTCTGTTTAATCAATACAGAAGTGTAATTTATAAACTGCGAAAAATGTGTATGGATCCATCAGAGAGAAGAGAATAGGAAGAATTTACCAGAATCAAGGAAGCGCAAGAAGGAGAGAACTATGCGACGCGAGAGAGGAGAATCCGTCTTCAGCTTCGCCATTGACGGAGGAGACCACCGCGTGGCTTTTTATGAATCTGGTCCTCTTTACTATTTATATATATATATGTATAATTTATTTAGTATAATGTCTATTATTTTTACGAAAATTCTATTACCTTCTTACATTATTTTAAAATGTTATAAATAATATTATAAAACTAGACACTCACATTCTTTAATATATAATGATGAATAGAGATTCACGTATATATAATGATTTTTTTAAAAAAAAAATTATAGTTCATTTTTAAATCTTTACTGGTATAATTCTACATTCTTTAATATATAATGATGAATAGAGACTCATATATATATATAATGATTTTTTTTTAAAAAAAAATTATAGTTCATTTTTTAATCTTTACTAGTATAATTCTCGTGTAATGCACGAGGTGTTTGGGGGAAAAAATATTATTTATATTTTTTCATGTTATAGTTTGTATTTATGAACATTTATAAGAAGGCTAATATGAATAGGGAAATTATTTTTATTTTTTAAAAAATGTCGAATATGATGTGATATGTCATAATTTCAAATTTTGTTGATGAGTTCATATAATTTTCTCAACAATTGCTTTTGTGAACTATTCATTAACTCTAGATTAAGAATATCAAGTAAAATTATAACAAATTTGAAAATTCAATTTAAAATAATTCACCATTAAACACAAAGATAATATGCTTACTCGATACTTTATAGAAAAAGCATAATGTACGTATCTAATACAGTATACAAAATATGAATAAGTAACTAATAGATAAGATGTACATATATCACCAAAATCAGTAACATAAACATGACTTTCAATCCTCAATCTTCAAATAACATAACAACCACAACAAACATATCCAACATCATTACAACAAATAAATCGCTTCACTCGTGGGACTAACACACAAACAAACAATCGACGTGTATTAGGCGTGTACCTGAGCGAACATGATAAAAAATATGTACCATGTGTAATATTCAAGCAAATCAAATATTTTTTATCGGATGTGGTATCTAAGCTAATAAATCATATGTACTAAGCATGGTATCCGAACCAACATATAATATGTACGAGGCATGGTACTGAATCAACCAATAAACACAAACATCACACGATCACACTTATATTAAATACAACCACACTTGTAAGAGTACACGTAGTTCAGACAAATTTGTGGCATGAGATCGACAACAATACATGTATCAGTGCACATTATTATTCCTTTATTCCACGAACATGTATTGTACAAGTATTGCTAATGGAACGATCAACATGCAAGAATAACGTAAATAGAAAAACGACTCAATCATTACCAACGTCGAGTCAAGTATAAATGTATTATTGAGCTTCAAACTTAATTTGTTTTTGGTCTATACACAACAATACAATACAAAATTACCTAAACAATTTCCAATTATTTCGTAATCTCAAATTACATGCCAATCTCATGATTATTCCCACCAATTTAGGACTTTTTCATCCTTAATTCAATTTAAACTGTTCATATTATGATTACATTAATGAATTAGAGATAAATAATTACAAAAAACGTTTTATACCAAATTTAAGGGCTTGTACATTCAAACTTGTCAAAGTGGAAGTAGGGCTATTTTTTAATCAAAAACAAAAGTTGAGGGTATATTAAAACCAAAAGGGAAGAAAGGTATTTTTGAGTTATTTCAAATAAATTAAGGATATTTTTGAATAAAAAAATAAGTTGAGAATATTTTTAGACCAAAAAGTAATTTATGATATTTATGAGCCTTTTAGGATGGTTAAAGGATATTTACTTCCACTTTTTTTAATTAGTTAAATGGAATTAAAAAAAAAGAATTCTTCAATAATAATGTGCTTTTATTAGAATAAAAAAAGTGTAGTAAAAAGAAAATAATGCACTAACATATTTAGGAAAAATCCTTTTGGCCAGAGTAATATTTTATCTATGTTATTTTACTTTTTAAAATATTTTTAATTTTAATATCTTTTAATTAAAAAATAAAAAATTTAAATCTAAAATAAAAAAAGTATTATACACTTTTTGAATTTTAACCAAGTTTTCGAACAATTTAACATCACCCATATATTTACTAGGACAAAGTTTTTTTTGTAATAACACCACATTTTTATTTCATTTCACACAGATATTTTTATCCCTACAAAATATATACTCGGTCCTAATTTACGAGACACTTGTTTGAAACTCAAAATTCGAAAAAGCGCAATGTTAAAATTGGAAAGGAGGGAGTATGAGAACATTGATATATACGATCCTGTTTTTGGCATTTAGCCATTGGTTTGGTAAGTTAGCTAATAAATTTTTGTATAGAAAGGTATTAACCAATCCACAACATTCTTTGGCTCTGCTCAAATTTCATTTGAGGAATAAAAAAAAATGGTGATGTGGGTATTTGGATATGGATCTCTAATTTGGAAGCCTGGGTTTAACTACGATGATCGTCTTTTCGGTTTTATCAAAGGCTATCGTCGTGTCTTTTATCAAGGTATGGCTTCTAATTTTTGTTTTGTATGTTTATTGAATTGCTTGTGAATGTTACAATGTCATATGAATAGTCAAAGTGAAAAGAATTAATTTTTAAGAACTATATGGAAATGTTTTGGATTTTAAGTATGATATATAGTTGGTCAAGTTAGTGGAGAGTTAATAGAAGTTTATATATATGTGTTGTTGTGTAGGCAGTACTGATCATAGAGGGACACCAGAATTCCCAGGTAGAACAGTAACACTGGAGCCTGCTGAAGGAGAAATTTGTGTGAGTTTTTTTTTTTGTACATTAGCCCATGTTTGAATGTATTGACTATCTTGTTCGTCTCTTTTTTACGCTATATCCCAACTTATGAATGTGGCTCGATTCTTAAATGTATCTGGTTGGGAAGTTTATGAGGCTGGAAAGACAAATATACTATGAAGAAATGTCAGAAAAAAGTTTAAAGATAGTAACTTTTTTTAGTGACACTAAAGATTAGCATGTTGCCGTAGCATCATTTCTTTTTTGAATTGCTTTTTCTTGAGCTGAATCGGGGAAACAACCTCGCTCTCTACCTAGGGGTAAGGTTTGTGTACTCTCTACCCTGCCCACCCCAACTTGTGCAAATACATTGGGTATTGTTAATGTTGTTGTTGTTGTACTAAAGATTAACATGAAGTTGGCTTCTTGTTGCCAGTGTATGATCTTCTCTTTTTCTCCGATTAATTTGTGGCGATTTTCATTTCCTTAATCTGAAATGCTTCAAGAAGGTGAATTTTTTTTCTTTTTAGCATTTTCATCCTGCTGTTTTACTAGTATAATTTAATTTTTCCTTCCAAATAAAAAAAGAAGTGTTTGATATGACAGGCAAACTCAATGGATTTGATTCGTTCCATAACTATTTATCTAGAAGTACTTATGTATGTTAAGAAGAAGGGAGCAAATTAGACTGTTAAATCAATTGAAGCCTTGATTACCGCCTCTCAAGTTCCCCCGATTGATCCCACGATAGAGTTGCGCGATCTTGATGCTTTCCAGAATATTGAAGTTCCTCATAGCTATGTTTTTCTAGATAATAATTAATCAAATAAAGTGATGCGTTCACTTTTATTCCAAATGTCTGTACAAAAAGGAAATTGAAAATGGTGGATAGATTATCATATATATAGATCCTAGTTTCTCTTGAAGATACTTCCTTATTTAATATTTCCATTGTTGTTTGTTCCAATTTAAACAAGAGATATTTATTAAAATCATCCTTCATTATTTTCTTCATGTATGTTGTCTTCTTTTATCTGAGTAAGATTGTTAAAGCAAATCTAATACCTCCAACCTTGTCTATACATTTGCTAAAGGGATTAGTTGAAGTTAGATAATAGAACTGTACATAAAGTCCTTTTGGGCAAGCTTTCTCAAAGTATTCTGCATAGTAGAGATACCTGGAAACTGAATAAGAGTGTTTCAAGATGGTGCGCTTCCTAGTTCCTTCAAGTGTATAAGGAGGCAGATATGCATTTTAAAGAGAGCAAAGAAGAATCTACCTGTACTTTGTCTTGAAGGAAGAAAGAACTTCGCAAGATGTTGATTTTGGTTATTGTTGCCATTGGACTATGTACGGTTCTTCTCACTACTGGATGCCTAATGTGTTCGTGGAGTACTGCTAGAGATTCGGTATAGGCTGCCTTTGTCTCACAGGATGCTTCCTTAGAAGCTATTGGCTCGCTGCTTAGTCTAAGTTAGGATGTTAATATGAGGAGCCTTCTCTTATATGCCTTTCAGTTGTCCTAAAAAATGAATAACACTTTCATTCTTCTAGGTTGTTGTATGGATTCACAGGTGATGATGCACACCATTTCCCTCTATATGTATTCTTTTGATTCTATACAGTTACGTTGTTACAGTTGGTCCTAATGCACTAGGTATTAATGTGATTCAATGGCTGATATCATCATGTTAAATCACTATTATATAAATCCAAAACAATGTCTGATTGATGCAAAGGAAAATAGAGTCTGATTTAATGGCCGTCTGTCCTTTTCTTTTGTATTCTTGTTATTCAAATGTCTGATTGATGCAAGGGGATAAAATATAGGAAAGAGTATGAAGTGCGTGTAATCTGAAAGAAGATAATAAAGCTATCCTTCTTCGTATCTCTTTCCTTCCCTCTCCTCTTGTATATCCAATCAAAGCAGTGTGTATCCGTTTCTCATTGCTTTCTTAGACGATCAACTTAGTAGTGAAGTCTCTGATTAACCAGAGCAATACACTTTGCAGCAACAAGGTATCTCCTCGATGAGAAAAAGGAACAAAGGGGCTTGTGAATGCTATTTTAATGTAATGAGATTTATCTACTTATGTGTGACCAATTCCCAATAGTTGAAACTGATAACTCTTACACTTACAGTGGGGTATGGCCTACAAGATAACGAAGGAGGAAGATCAAGAAGTGGCACTGACAGTAGGTTTTTCTTATCCTTTCTTCATATTAAAGATTGTTAACTGTGTTATTTTTATCCATATGCGAGAATTCAAAATTTGTGCTATTGTGAGATATACATTTGAGGCACATCCCATTCTTACCTTTTAAAAGTAATGTAGTGTTTTCTTGCTGTCTTGAAATCTATTGACTTTATGCACTGAAGAGTCGAGGAGACATCTGCTTTGTTTATTAACTTGATAGAGTAAGTTACAGCTTTAAGGAGGTAAAATGTGGTCTAATTTATAATTTATTGGGAACAGGCTGATTGAAAGAAAAAGTCAGTTACACCATATAAATATTTTGAGCTATTATATGCGTGCAAATTTTCTAAATTTTCGTTAGAATAATGTTATTACATATAACCTCTGAAAGGGGAAATTCCCTGTTCACAAACAAGGGGCAATTAGTGGTCGATGCTCATTGGAATCTCACATGTACTTTAAAAATGAGCAACATCAGTATTCCATGCTTTATCTCTTAGATGTATTTTATCCATTAAAAAAGTGCTAATATACCTCAAAGCTGGAAATGAGACATTAAGCTCAAAGGTGTCTTACTAGGCATGCAACTCTGATTGTACGATGAAACCATTCAGTTGCCAGGCAATGAGGCTTGCCTTAGAAAGTCATATTAAAGTAGTTGGTTGTAATTTGTCAGCCCTTATGCTATGAAAGAGAAGAGAAGCGACTTGACTTGCCAGTGGCCTCTTAAAAATAGCATTTTCTTGAGAGAATTCCTTCAGAACTTCTGGAATTCGCTTTGTGTGTAATTAAATTTCCGAAGGAAATCTATAACTTTAATTATTTAAATTTGGGTAACAAATATCAAATAAATGCTCATGTTCACTTAGATGAATTGGAAAATTGCATTTTAACTTGAATCCAAAAGATTTGGCTCCCCTATAAAGTATTATTCTAATTTGCCTTCTTTCTGTTTGGGTATGTTTGTTGATATTTTATATTCCTTAAGCATTTTGATTTTGAAATATGTAGTAAATGCTACGATTTACGTCTTTTGATCAAATCCACTATTAGTTTGCTCTTGCTCCACATTCACAGATTTCCTCTGCAGCATTTTCCTAGGATATACCATATGTTCACTTTGACAGCAGAAGTCTACCTTAGATATCTGTGTTTTTGCATTCTCTTTTTGTGTTTGACTGCCGTAATTTTCTGGTTCCCCCAATTTCTGTATGAGTTTCACAAATTACTGGTTTCGTCTTCCAAATATTAATTGAGTTTCTATCTTTCACTTGTATGACAATGCTTTTTGTTTGTTCGTCTGGTTACAATTCTATTATAATGGCATTCATGTGGCCTAAATCACATCGTTGAATGACTCTATTTTGTTAATCTATATTCTTTTCATGTTTCCTCCATCTAGTACCTTGAAGTCAGGGAAAAACAATATGACCAGAAGGCTTATGTAGATCTTTTCACTGTAAGTCATACCGAGTTAACTTTTAACCTAAAGAAAGTGCTTGTTGAATTATATTCTTTGTTCTGTGCTAATTGATTCATTAACAAATCAACTTACCTCCAGGAGCCTGCAGCATCAGCACCAGCTGTTTCTGATGTATTAGTGTAAGTTACAAAATCGACACACTACACATTTTCTACTCAGTTTTTTTCTTGATTCATCATGCAAAACTACTGTTTGAGTATTCAGATACATAGGTTCTCCAGACAAGAAGCTTAACGAGAACTACCTGGGACCTGCATCAGTTGAAGAAATTGCTAGGTGTGTGTCATATTTCAGTGCTTTTAAAAAAAATTGCACTACATTCTATATTGACAAGCCCATGTCAGAATTTCTGTTAGAAAAAGGAAATACATTATGGTGACCAATGATCTTGATTTTGATCCTAGGTAAACAAAGCTGAGATTCTTAGAATTCCACATTGATTGAGTGTTGTGTTGTAGCCTTTCTTATATGATTTTTGGAAAATCCTTACGGCATGGGCTAGGCTTTTGGATTATGCCCAGGATTTTTAATACGGTTTTAGAAATCCCTTGTGGAATGAGCTAGCCTTTTGGATTAAGCTCAGGATCCATTTTCTTAACATGGTATTATAGCCACTCTGCGTACAACCTTAAGTGATGGTTGGAGAGCTCGTAGCGAGTATGTTGAGTTCCTAGAAGGAGGATGTATGTAATATGCTAAGTAAATCCACATCAACAAATACACGAGAAATATTGGGTATGTAAGGAAGCAGGCCTAAGATGTGACGCGCTTTAAAGCCATGAAGGTGTGACAATATGATATCAGAGCCAAGCTCATCTCATCCTGATGTTGGGCTACTTAAAATTGTTCCCCTTGTTATACCACTTCACACTCCAAAAATGTCGTGTCCGGGTGTGCAGGAGGTGTTACATAACACATAGGTTAAGCATATGAAACGTATTTTTCTTATATGTTCTTGGACAATCCACATCACCGGAGTACTGGGTTTAATTAGGATTTAGACCCAAGGTCCATTTCATCATTTGAGTACGTGGGTTTCATTAGGATTTAGACACAAGATCCATTTTTCTAACGATTATTTTCTAACAATAGATCCTTATGATTCTGCCTTTCCCCAGACCCCGCACATAGAGGAAGCTTAGTGCACCGGGCTGCCCAGATTTATTATTGTTCAATCCAAGAACATAAATATTTTTCCCTTGACTGAATAAACTAGTTACATATGAGAAAAGTATTTTACAAAATCATCTTGACTGCAACAACAGGTAACTGTCTTGACCTGCCTTATGCTCTTTGTGATTCTAATTTCATCGAAAGGGAGCTTTTTAGAACTTGACTTTTCGAATAGACATTATAGTTTAGCAACTGTTAATGTATATTTGAACTGTGCAGTCAAATTGCTCGTGCAGAAGGCCCCTCAGGACCCAACAAAGATTACCTTTTCCAACTTGAAAATGCCCTTGGCCTTTTAGGTAACTTCTTAAGCCTAAAAAAAGCTGTCGTTTCCTACTTCATTTCGTGCTTTAGATTTATCACTCTTTACATTGTTGGCCAACATTATCCGTCTTCACTTGAACTAGGATGTGAAGATAAACATGTCATCGACATAGCAAAGGAAGTCAGGCGCATACTTTCAGAAGACGAGGTAACCATCTCATGATCTTGCAGATACACCTGAGCAGACACTTGAACAGTGCATGTTAGAGGGGAAAAGCAATTGCTTTTCTATATTCAAGTTCCTTCATATTTTCTTGCATTCATGCAAAATAATACACACACTATAATACATTTTTTTTTCATGTTTTTGTCTGCTCAACCTGTTCAATAATATACTTGAATTGTCATACAAATGGAAAGATGATTTGAGTTAATAATAGTGTGTCATGACATAGAATTGTTCTATAACTATATTTGAATTATGAGATATAAGAAATTGCAATACTATAAAATTGATTCAAGTAGCTTAACAATCCAAAAAAAATGTTTGTCAGAACCACAATTTATATACTTCCTACTAAGAAGATGATCAAATTTCCTTTTTGTATTGCTACAAAAATTACTCTGCCTACTTTTTTAAAAATGTATATTTGCAAAGTGCAATTTTCTATTTACACAGAAATCCAGTAGGTAAAATCATTCACTAAAATGAGTAGTAATGCATAAGAAATACAATGTTTGATAATTGATGAGAAGGTAAGTTAATTATGTATAAAATTAATATAATATCTTACAAAACCAGTATAGACGTATTTTACAGTAATGTTTTAGAGTGTATTTTATTTTACAAAATACAGTTTTGTGCTGACGGCGTTAAAGTGAGAAAAGTTGCTTTGAGTAATGTTTCATAGTACGTTACTTTGAGTCACATTCTACTCCTAAAACGTTGCTCACGGTAACGTGTCAATCATAAAAATATAGTTATTAAACGTTACTGAGAGTAATATTTTACATTAAATACGTGATTTATGTTTGAAGCAGACACATCTAATATACCTATTAATTTCAATTGATTGTAGTTGTCTGCATTTTTTCTTGGATAATTCATTGTTATTGAAGTCTACCTAGTCTAGATATGTTGCATAATTCAAGTAAAGCATTCAGACCATTTTATCATACACCAGTGTAGTTGTAAATATGAAAAATTTAGAACGTTCATAATTTTGGCTTTAGATGTTATTTTCGAATATAGTAAAATTCTATTTCACGGTTCATACCTCATTTGAATTTATAACTACCTATAATTACTCATTCTCACTAACACACACAATTAATTAAATCATCACAAACACCCACAAAAAATTTGATAAAAAACTACATGCAATCAATGTGTGCTTCTTGTGAAGACAAACAATGTATACTACCACATCTTTTAGTAAGTAATGAATTAGGTGAGCGATGACATATGAAAATTGTGGGTCTGAGTTTTCTTTCAAATGCCACTAACTTTGTATCATTTTATAATTCAAAAAAAAACATTATGACTAATTTATCTGACACTAGTGCACTTGCTTCAATCAAGTTCACTCAATCAAATCTAGGCGTTATTCTAAATTTACAGAATTCAGTGGCATGTGATTGGACTCTTAAGAAATGTTTATCTTCTAAAACGTGATTCAAAATAATGTATTATAAGCTTCAAATGTTACTAATAGTAACATTTTTCAACTCAAAGCCGTTAGCACACAACTGAAATGAATCTAAAAAAATATATATATATATACCCTAAAATGTTACAGTGAAATATATCTATATTGGTTATAAATTTTTTTAAAAAACATGTTATTTTAGTGAATTGCTTTAAACAATATCTTAATATGGTAAAAAAAAAGTCCAATATATTATAAAAATAAAAAAACTTTGCGATGTTTCAAAACTACTCTCCAAGATTAATAAAATTTTAAATAAAAAAGTTCACCTTTGTGCAATCTTACTACATAAGTAGGACCAAGATAGTTGAATGATAGTGTCATCAATTGTTTGCAAAACAAGGAAATATATTATTCTTTTAGTACTAATTAACAATAGTGAGCTACCACACCCACTAACAGATAAAAAGTAATCAGGTTCTTCCCTAACGAACTTATAAAGGACCACATTGTTTCAAATGAAAAAAAAATTAAAAAATGAACCACTAAAAATACTCAACTAAGAACTAAAAACCAATAGCAAATGAAAACATAAGGTTTGACAATTCCCAAAAACCAGGTTAAAACTGAATCCAAACCCTCACTCACTTCGCAATAAAAGAACATGTCAATTTAGGGTTGAAATTTTCTCAAACTTCATACTTGAAAATTGAAATAAATGAAGACGACTTCGACAAGCAAAAGGTTAATTGAGAAGAATTCCAAATCAAAACTGATGAGATGAAATGAAGAGCTGGGCGTCCAATGCACTTTGGGGACGCAGAGTCGAAAATTTGGGCATAGGCCTTGTAAGACAAGAGTCTTACCACTTAGACTCGCCTTGTGGCAAGAAGCCTTGTAAAACACTGCTACCACCATAAACATGAAGATTATCACCACCTACAATGCACAAGCAAAGATGTTCCATGTACAACGTCCCTCGATAACTAACAAATATGGTATCTAATATCCATGACTGGCTAAGTTCAATACTTCTAAACAAAGCTAAATATCACAACTCTTTGTAAATATACTTCTAAAATACATTAAACATCAGCTCCCAAATCTAAGTTGAGAAACTGAAACTATTGATACATTGGAAAGACCGTCCCTGATCTGTAAATTATAATCTTCAGTCACCAGAAAACTTCATTCACTGTCCTCATCATCATCTGCCACGGAAAAGGGTGTTTTAGAGACGAGTAACATTTGTATGATGAGTTTATGCAATTGATCATCAATCAGGTGGAGAACAGGTGCAAAAGTTAGTACACTAAAATAGTTGTGTTTCCACTGTATTATTCTAGTTGCACACAAATTTCAAGTGATATATCTTTAGGCCAGTGGTACAACTTAATAGGGATACTGCCAACATATGCTGAAGGAGAATGAGGAGGAATATTGCTTTTATGGAACTTCAACCAAAGAAAAGAGGAAAATTGTTAGAGCAGTTAGGAAGCCATGGTGAGGAAAAATGGAAAATGCAGTTGAAAACCAACTGAACAAGAAAGTTAATTCCTAGAAGGTTAAAGTATCTCAAATCAGCAAACCGCCACTGTAGAATATATAGTTGCTACTCCCTCAGTCCCATTTTATATGAGTTATTTTGACTCGGCATGAAGTTCAAGAAAGAAAGGTTTTTGAAACTTGTGGTCTAAAATAATCGATAGATATTTGTGTGGCTGTATAAATCATTTCATTAAGAGTAAAATGAACATTTTAAAGTTCAATTATTACTTCATATAGAAATGTGTCATTTTTTTGGAACTGACTAAAAAGAGAAGTAAGTCATATAGGGAGTAACAAATATAATATACCTCCATTGAACTCCTCATCACTCTGACTGCTCTCATCATCTTCATCGTCATCATCGTCTTTGTCATCATCACTTCCATCATCGGCATCGCTATCACCATCCTTGTCATCATTCTTATCATTTTTAGGTGGTGACTTGGGTCTTGGAGGATCCACAAAGCTGGTCGTTGATCTCCTTCGTGTATTTGAAACAATGTTGCTTAAGTCAATACCTTCCAATTCTTTTGCTGTTTGCTTTCTCTTTTTGACTTCTTTGATTTCTGGCAAATGGCATCAGCAAAAAGTTACACAACAGAACTTCCCCATATATGCACCTACAAAGCTACACTTTTAACAATTCCCAACTAGACAATAATCAACAACATATCTATCCTACAAGTGGGTGTTTGGGGAGGGTAGGATGTATGTAGACCTTACCCTACCTTTCTAAGATTGTTTCTGATAGATCCTCGGTTCAAAAGAAAAGAAAATGAAGCGTGTTCACATGAAAAGTATGACAGCACACTAGCAAGATACAAATCAACTACAATGTGAAACCAAGACAGGCTGGAAATGGAAAAAATAACAGCAACGAGGTGTCAAGATGGACAGCCAAAAAAAGCAACATGCAAGAAATGGACAAAGTAAAAGATACTATGCCAGTACTAAGCAGAAATACTATAAAAAGGAGACAAGGGAAAGAGAAAACTAGCCTCATGTCTCTCCCACATAAAGGTGCTACAACGCTCAGCTACCAACTAACCTTCTACATACTTACTAAAGGTAATCCATAAGTTTCTGATAGTCCTCCAAACTGATACACTACAAGTGCTGACCACTACACCATTGCACTATTGACTTGACTGTCCATATTTTTCATGATCACCTCCTTCCATAATGCTCGGTCTTCATTAGCATATTCGCATGTTGGAGGTCTCAAGTTTGGAACTCCTCACTAGCGAAGGCAAGGGGTTTGCCTTCTGGGTCAAGCTCATCGCACTGAGCTTGCCTAGTGCGGTTACCTCTCCTATGTGATTTGCAAGCTATTGCATAGGAGCGGGGTTTTACCCTGTGCACACCCATAGGGTAGCGGTTGCGGGTTTCCTTGTCATTAAAAAAAAGTAAATCCCCATAACCACTTCATCAAAAGTCAACTAGTGTAATTCACTATTGTGTAATTTCAGATTCCAAGACCCCTTAATTTCTTCTCAACCCTTCAGGGTGGCCCAGTGGTTTGGGCTTGAACTTCCATGTTGGAGGTCTGAAGTTCGAAACCCCTTGCCAGCGAAAGCAAGAGGTTTGGCTTCAGGGTCGAGCTCGTAGCACCGGGCTTGCCTAGTGTGGGTTACCTCTCCTATGTGGTTTGCGAGCTATTGCATAGGAGCGGGTTTTACTCTGTGCGCACCCAAAGGGTAGCGGCTGCGGGTTCCCTTGTCATAAAAAAAAAAGAATCTTCTCAAGTTGAACATCCCATTTCACTGAACGGAAGCCTTTATTCTCCTTGACTCCATTCCATAGAAAATACCTTCTAAGCTTGTCAAATTTATCCACCACCCCCAGCTGGAATTGGAAACATAGACATCACATAAGTAGAGAATCTAGTACTGCATGAATCAGAATCAATCTACCTCCCAGGAATAGGTACAGCAACTCCACTTTGTAAAGCTGACTTGTCCTGCATCTGGATCACAAAAGATAATTGTGCCATCCGCATGAGCAATTTCTTTTGCATTGTTGTTCTTACCATGCCATTGAGTCCTTCCATGGCTATGATGAAGAGGAAAGGTGAAAGAGGATCACCTTGTCTGAGTCCTCTCTAAAGGTAAAACCCCTCCACAGGTTCTCCATTTACAATGACAAAGAATCTAACAGTTTTGATACAAAAGCTCATCCACTTCAGCCACTTAACACCAAACCCCATCTGATTCAGAATAATCAAAAGATATTCCCAGCTCACATGATCATATGCCTTTTTCAATGTCAACTTTGCACATAATACCTGGATCATCACTTCTTAGCCTAGAATCCATACATTCAGTAGCCATTAGTGCAACATCCATTATTTGTCTTCCTTTAATGAAAGTCATCTGTTTGTTGACCAGTTTGTGCACCACCCTTTTTCAACCTTTCTACTAACAGCTTGGCAATGATTTTATAAACACCACTTATGAGACTTAATGGCCTAAAATCTCCAAGTTCAGTTGTACTATTCTTCTTGGGAAAAAGAGCCACGGAAGTAGCAATCAGGTTCTTTTCAAACATCTGATGCTGATGAGAATGCTGCAAAGTCCCCATTATGTCTACTTTAAGCATTACCCAAAAAGTTTGGAAAAAGCTCATTGGGAATCCATCAAGTCGGGAAGCCTTGTCACTGGCACATATTTTTGGAAAAAGCTCTTTGGGAATCTATCAAGTGGAGCCTTGTCACTGGCACATATTTTTATAAAACTGCACCTCCTCTTCAAAATTTGTTACCTTGTATACTACAGATCCAAGATACTTGAAACTGCTTCTCCTGGGTACAATTGTGTATCAATCTTCACTTCTACCTTCTGCATCGCGTGCTATGTCACTGAACTTGCACACTAGGTACTTTGTCTTACTCCTGCTTAACCTAAAACATTTTTAGACTCTAATACATGTCTCCAAGCTTCCAATTGCTTGTTAACTCCCTTGAATGTCTCGACAATCAATACTATGTCACAGCAAAGAACATACACCACAGCACATCCACTGGATATATCGCGTTAATTGAGTCATCACTAAGACAAACAAAACAGGCTACGGGCTGAGCCCTGATACAACCCCATCATGACCGAGAAATTTCCATGTTTCCTACTGCTCTTACTCGGGTCTTGGCACCATCATACATGTCCTTATTTGTCCCAACTCCCAATATAAGCCATTGTACACGTCTAGACCCAGACATCTCCATAGAACCTCCCTAGGAACTTTGTCGTGTGCTCAGAAGGAGCAGGTAAAAGAAGCAACTTAAAGTAGCAGAGAAGTGAAGAAGTTATATACCATTTCAACTGAAAATTTGTTATAGCTAACACAGTCACAACATCTTACTACTCCATTAGACACTTTTAGTCATAAAGTACCTTTTTCGGTGGGGTTCGATGATAGTCCTTCTGCAGAAAGCATCTTTTCTAACTCCTTTATCAGGAAGCCTTCACGTTTGTCGTCAGATACCTGTTTGGCTCTCTTATAAAGAAAAGGAGCAACACTGGTGGGAAGGTAGAACGTTTCAATTAGAATGTCATCTGAGCATCAGTTACAGATAATTAGAAATCTTACAAAAAGACAAACCTCATCCCACAAGCTTTGAAGATTGATTTCAGATGTTCCACACGTTTTCCGTATCCAGTATTAGCTGATGCTCCCTTTACAACTTTCTCCTGCAGTTAGTTTAATGAATAAGAATCATATACGAGCATGGGGAGGGTTTCTAACATAATATTATATGGAAAATATCATAACTCACCTTGTCAGATATTATTTCAGCCGACGATCCAGATTGACCATCTTCAGAATCACTCTTATCAGTGTCTCCGTCACTATCTTCATCTGACAGATTCTTAGAAACTTCTTTCTGATTTTCTGCAGGGACATTATCTTCTGAATTAGGTTTTTTCCGTTTCTTCAGTCCTTCAGATTTCTCAACTGTTTCTTTTGCAGCAGAATTCTTTCCTGATTTTACTTTTTCTGCTATACGTTTACGTTTGCTGCTAGAATTGGAGTTTTCACCACTCTTCTTTGCTGTTTTACTTTTGTTTTCAGGGCTTTTCTTAACACTGCTAGATTTAGGAGCTTCAGAAGGTATTAACACCTGTTAAAAAAACTGTGATGATTAACAAACATACTCCTCTTGGAAGTAAAGAGGTTGTTTGAAACAAAATACCACCTCATCTATTTGACTATGAATAAACTTCTTAAAGGCATCAAGAGTATTTTTCTCAAGACCAAGATCTTCTTCCAAAAGTCTACGAACACCAGCCAGAGTTATTGACCTGAGATAAAACATTCACTTGAAACAGTTGAAACACAGAAAAGGAAAAGAACAAGATAATGAAAGGCCAACATTGCATAAAAAATAAGTAAATAAAACCTTTGAGAGAAGAGATGCAATTGAAATAGATCAAACTCTTAAAGAAGTGGTTAGGTGTATTCACCAATAATACATAAAACCAGCTAAAAAGGCTCTATCTTCTTTTAAAAGTAAAATGTTAGAGAAAGTGGAAAGAATCAACTAACAGTACTCGCCTGACAATCAAGGGCCTATTTGACTAGTGACTAGCTCAATGTCTCGTGATTGAAAACCAATATCTGTATTTTTTCTTTTAAAAGAAAAAGAACATTTTGTCTGATATCTTTCCAGTATTAATGTGGATTATAGCTAAAAACTATTTCCTTCACTGCTGCTTATCAGCTTTTCATCTCTTATCCATCTAGGCAAATCCTCGTGCAACATCATACCATTACGAAGAATTTGACTCAACCCAACTCTACATTCTCACTATTTTGAAGCTGCCATTATATTGAACTATTATGGCAAATATTGCCAAAACACCAGGTTCGCATACATCCTACCCTCCCTAGACCCCACTATACACTGGGTATGTCATAATATTCTCAAAACACTTATCACATACTCCAATTCAGAATAAAGCTTCCCCCAAAGCACATCCAAAACAATTTCAACAAATTACACCAATTGAAGACTCCTGAAACCAATAATTAGCACAGAAACAGGCCTAAACGCTGTCTAATCTTAGAAGAAATGAAGCACAAAGTGCATTCTATTTCTTCTGTGTAGTTTCTTTCTTGAGTAATTTGCTCATTATTTCATTTGAAAAGTAACAGTTACGAATTCTCATTAGCAGGGCACTGAGAGTGCAAAAAGCAACCAGAATATAGTACACTCCTTGCAGGAAGAGATGCACCAGTTTCTTCAAAAATAACAAATAAGTCAACTCAGTCAGTCAGCTACAAATGTTTAGTTCTACCAAAAAGCTTATGATCTCCTCATTTTATGAAGCATAAGTTCCTTTGCAGCAAAAATAACAATGAAAAAAGAGCTAAGAAACCGACAAATTATAAACCTATTGAAGGACAACTCTTCTCCTTGAGATGCCCTTCTATTTCTTCCATCCGAATGCACCAAAACATGCATGTGTGTATCATTTGTATTATGTAAGGAGAATTTTCCTAACCAATGAAGAACTTCATGGACTTCTACTATTCCATATCAGTTTCCAAAGGCATCAGTCAGTTGATTATTAAGGGCATGACAAAAGTGAACCCTCAAACCATATTTCAGCAATTCAGTCAGATTAAATAACTAACTTTGATTAAAGTGAATAAGCCTCAGTTTGTAACAAAAGCAAGATACTGAACTCTTGTTTTGTGTGAATTTTTTGGAGAACATAACAGAAATGTTTTCCCATCTCAACAAAATTTATTAGCTTAAATATCCAACATTGTCATTACAAGAAATAAGAAACAACAAAAATAAGGTCGATAAAAATGGACCCCTAACCTTTCTTTACACGAGTCATCAACCAATTTATATCTTTACTGCCATTCAATTATCATAATTGGTCTTTGAATGCCATGAATGAAGTTCTATAGATATTACACGTGGTAAAATGGATAGAAGAAATACCCAATGGGTGATATAATGGTTTCACTACAACTAGGTTTTTGTTTTGATAAGAGATAAGTGATAACAAGGTATTAAAGAGCATATGATATTAAAAAAGAGGACTTGTAAAATTTGGATAACCTAAAGCTATTATGAATTATCATCCATTTATAACCCATTAGGTTGAATGCAGAAAGTCTTCATTGAAAACTCATTTTGCCACATTATCAAGTATATAACAGCACAATTACTCATGAAGACTTGATTTTTCTAATTATTTCACCATCAAGGCTTGTGTAGGAGCCACCTTATGCGACTCAACTAAAACACCAAGTAACTTGCTACAGTCCACAAGTGGAGTTGCCGGGTAAACCTGCTCATAAAGGTTAGACTAAACGGGCTCAGACTGAGTGTTGCAGGTCAAATTCAAACTTGGATTCTTGATATTGTTGCTCCTAAGCTTCAACTACTCGGCCATCCCCTTAGGTACTACTTGTGAAGATTCTTCTGGATTTCAACAACAATAGAGGACCCAAAGAAAGTAAAGAAAAAGAGAAGCGGAAGGAAAGAAAGAGAGAGAACAAGAACCTTTGCACTTTGCTTAAAGTGAGGATTCATATAGTAACCCCAACTTGTTTGGGACTCATAGTTGTTGTTGTTGTTGTTATTATTATTATTATTATTATTATTATTATTTTTCTATAATTCAAGATTGAGCTTTAGATTTATATTTCCATTATATTGTATAATGGAAGGAGCTTCTGTTGGATGTCCTTATTTAGGATATACAGGTGAGATAAAAGGGGGAAGAAAAGTGATGCTCTAGAATTCTTGTCATTCAAGTAATAGTTCAAAAGGGGTCAGGTGGCACCATAGGATGAAAGGCAACAGTAGACTATTTCACTAACATGTTTATCTCATTCCTTTTCTCCCAACAACTTTCAAACAGCAGGGGTTATGTCCCACATAACTGCCTCAGCGAATTTGAAGCAACATGATCTGGGAAGAATCTACCACTGGTCAAGGCCAAAGTCATTAGTCATTCCGGGGAACAGATGTAAACAACTTGGAATGAAAAGAGGAGCTAAAGCTATGAACAAGCATACTAAAGTGTTCCCAAGCAATTGTCAGGAGAACCGGCAGGTACAGAGTCATAGCTGTAAAAGATAGAATGGTAAACAGCTAGCAATGAAAGATACGTACTCGGAATTATCTCTGAAGTGATCAGCTCTCTCCCAGATGGCCTTCTTTATTGAGCTCTCACTTACCTTTAGACTTTGAGCATCCACTGACTCAGATTTCGAGCTCATAACGCCCATTATAGGAGAATCATCCATTTCTGCTTGATCAAGTGCTGGCTCTTTGATATCTTTCTTTATCACTTGCTTTTTGGGGGACTCGAGCACTTCTTTTTCTTGTTTAGTCAAAGAAGTATCTTTTTCCAAATTTTCCTGGGAATCCTTAGGGACACCATCAGCAGCAGCATCCTCCATTAGCTAGCATGTCAAACAAAAAACAATTAGAAACTGTAAAAGGCCTTTTCATGCGAGGGCATATAATGTAACATGCCAAAAGTGCAAAAATGACAAATTGAAGAAGAGCTTGCAGAAAATAGCTACTGAAAGCATTACAGTCTGAAGCATAACTGCATAACTCTCATTAAATTAATCACAGATGGAGAATGTCACTCTGAACTGACCAAACAACTACCTAGAAGTCTAAGTAAAAGTAACCATAAGAATAATTTTCTCATAAAAAGGGTGTCATTTTAAGGCTTGCTTGAGGCTCTGTTAAGCCCCAAAGCTGGGTACACAGCCAGGTGCCAAGGCAATGGGCTCGCGTGGGCTCTATCTTGAAAATGTGGCCTTAGACAATAAATATAGTTGACCAATTGTATGCTAATGTCATAAGAAAACTATGAGTTAATATTTAATGATTAGGCATCGAAAATTTGAGATTTCGTGTTAAAAGCTAGTCAATATTCACTGAATATATTACAACCAATTTAGATGTTTTAAATGACCTTTTGATTTTTACAGTTTCATTGAAGGCATCAAGAAGATGCAGTAGATACAAACAAGAACGTTAGTTCCATTACAAAATTTAAAGGACTCTTAACTTAGG